CACCCCCCCCCCCCCCGCCCCCACCCCCCCCCCACCCCCTCCCCACCCCCCCCAAATCCGAAGCCGAATTTATCAAAGTCGCGCAGTGGATTTTGAGGCAAGAAGAAGTGGTATGACAGGACGAACGTACCGTAAATACCGAGTAAAACGATCGTGCTCTTAAGAGGGTTGGCAACAGAGGTGGTTGGTAGGGGGGGGGCTGCTACTACTACTACTACTACTACTACACCTACTCCCACTCCTACTGCTGCTGCTACTGCCACTGCTACTGCTGCTGCTGCTACTGACTGCTGCTACCATGCAGACATCATCTTACAAAGGAGGTTGGGCCAAAGGAGCGAGTTGAAAGCCTCTTTCTCCTTGGTAGGAGTTGGTGCCTGCCACAAAACGGGAATGTGCGGTGAAGAAAACACACGCAAGCAGGCGGAGGAAGGCTCGTGATACCTTTGAGGAGCCCAAATTCCTAAAGTCGAAGCCCCGACATCCGATTGGGAACGCCATGGCCTCTTCTCTGACCTTCTTGCTGATGTCTGGCTCCTAGTCACCGAGCTCAGGATGGCTGATGGCCCAGCGATGTCACAGAATGCATCATGAACACCATGATAACAGCATACAAGGTAACCTGTGCAAGTGGATGTATGTCAAAGGCGGTATGCGCAAGTTGTATAACTGCATTGTTAACAACAGGCTTGGTTCCTTGATCCTTCTGACAGACTTGGGACTGAACTGGGACACAAAGGCCCTCGAACGTCTCAAGGCCCACTGTATTGCAGCCCACCCGACTCAGACTCAGACACATCAGCAGTTGCCAGGCCTGTGTCTTTTCCTCCGCGGCCGCTTCTTCTCGCTTGGATTTGTCGGCCCTCAGTTGCATGCCAGTAAGCTTCGCTCCGAAAGGCAGACTTTCCAGTTCGCCTGCCTTGAAACGGACCTACGTCCACGTCCCATTTCACGCGGGTCGTCCGTGTTGGTTCAGTATCGGATTTCTGCGCCAATGCTGACTATGCGGGGCACTTTATTTCCCGCACCTCTTCAGCTTCTTGAACCTGTTTCCTCATGCCAAGGCTGTATTTCTCCGCTTTTGCTGTTCAGTGGTTGCTAATGCCGTGGCGCAACGAATACGGCCTTGAATCCCAGGAGGCTCTGCCGCAACGAAAGGTCACCATCGCTACATGCCGAATCATGCTGCCAATAGCAAACCCTTCCCTGAAACCGTAGCTGCCGAGGTGCTCAGAAACGACACCGGTCCGTGCACGGCGCACCGAGGTAGACATCACCGGATTTGGTCCCCATTCCTCCAGCTGCCTTTGCGAATGTCTGTTGTCTGCTAGGTTCAAGACCTGTGCGATTCTGGCTTGACTATCGACCCGATGACCCCCCCAACCTGACTGTGGCGTGACTCGCTCTCTCTCTCTCTCTCCCTATCTCTTTCTCTCCTACTCACTGAAATACTCATACCCTCGCTGAAATACGCAGGTGCCACTCTCTGACCAACGAATGCAAAGCAAGGAGTGAAGTTTTAGGCTCTCAGAGTGCTGGCCTGGAGTGAATGGCAGCCGCTGCTATGTTCTTCTCCTGCCACAGGATGCTGAAACTGTACATTAGCAAGAATACCTTGGGGCTTAAGAATTCTGGACCTCTCCGATGAGCTTCGGTGCACTTGCTGTAGCTCGACTTAGATGTGGCACAAATTGTTGAGCATGTTCTGCAACAAAAGAGCGTTCGAGCCTCCTGCCGCTTCGTCCGCGTTGTTATCACACGCTTGCGGCAGGACCGGGCCTTACAGCAGAAGCAGAGGTCACTGCCAAAACAGGCTAAAAACCTTCGATGCAGCCGAAAACGCACATGCAAAACTCGTGACCCTGTTCTCCGAACTTCCAAGCATGCTCACATCAGGCCGGGGACCAGCTCGCAAGCGTTCTTTTGCTTGGCCCGTAACAGGAAGACCTGCGGCCATGCAGCTCAGGCTGTGATGCGCTGACCAACACATCCTAGATGCCTGATGAACAATAAAAAACATGGGGATTCACTAAGCAAGAATTTCACCGAATGCCCACCTGCATGAGCACTGTTGCTGTCAATCTGACTACATTTCTGCTGCTGTCATCGTCCCTGTTCCGGCTCCGACACTTCCGCAAAGCCTCACCCTGGGAAGACCTGGTCTCCTTCGACTCCGACCGGAAGAGCGCATGCGGCCGCAACCCAAACACGATTCAGTGGTATCCTTGAGCACATCTCCAAGTACCCTTCCTGGAATCCCAGGCGGTTGACCACGACGAACTCGTTAAATGCGCCGAATCAGCATCACATATGCAGCAGTGTGAGCAACTTCAATCGAACCAGAACCCCCCCTTGGTGTCCTGTCAGTGTAAATCTCAGAGAAGCGCTCTCGTGAGTCCGGCCTTGTGGTGCAGCCTTCCTGCCAGCATAGCTAATCCTGTGCCAAGTGCGGCTTTGCAGCAACTGTCTTTGGTCTTGCATAGTCTTGACCAGTCTTGAGACACACTTTCAATACAGGTTGTGCCGTCATGACGTGACAGCCAGTCTTCTCACAGACGTTGGTGCAACACAATTTACTCTAACATGCCTTTGTTTGTCCTAGCCGCAACCCATCAGAGTCCACCAACTCAACATGGAAAGGCACCAAGTCACCAGCATTAGCGCGAGTGTGCATGCTCGGAGTGTCTGGGCAAGATCAAGCCATCGTATCGCATTGTGAAGCCAAGGTGCTGGAAGCAACCTTTCTTGAGGCGTTCTTCTTGACCACACCTCCGATCAGCATATTTGAATGCTTAATCTCGGCCTTCAGAGTGCAGCAATGATCAAGCCAAGGCCCGCTAGGGAACCCGAAGCATGAAGCTTGCCGCAGAGCAAAAGAAGCGTTGTGAGTTTCGCTTTTTGACAAAATCCGAAGGCCTCGCATACGATTTATATCCCAGGATGTCCTGTGTTTCGAAATGGGACACTTCAATATGCTGCCAGCAACCACTTAATTTTGTCGCTAGGTCTGTGTGCGGAAGCACCGAGCGCGATGTATCCTCCGTGCGGTCCCTGCAAGTTGGCTGGGGCTCCGACTATGTGTGTGAAGCACATCCATCAGTGACTCCATGGACGACCGCTGCGACGTCCTGGGCCATTAGCTTCGAGACAGGCATTGGACTTTACCCTTGCTGCTTGCAACCACTCCTGCACTGCGATTTGGTAATAACGTGACAAAGGCCGGCACAACCAATTGTAATGTTGATAGTAAAAGAAACAATGGCAGGTATCCGATGCAAAAATCAACAACTACTATTACTGCAACGAAAAGTGTACCAACGAAGTGACGACGACGGCGATTACGACCGTGACCACTCCCTTCATGAGCCTTTGATTTTGGTCATTGTCATTTCTGTAGTGGACGTCTCATCGCAGCGACCCGCTTCTGCGACGTCAATGACGGACAGACACGGGACGGCAGAGCGACGACTGATTCTGGTGACATTGGTGCCATATCAAAAGCCGTCGTAAAAAAAACAGTTACATGTAACGATGATGTTGTGAAAGTACAGACCAGGAGCAGCTCCTGTAGTGGATGCAGCAATCAGACAAGTGATGGTCAGTGATGGTCTGAAACCCGGGGCAAGAGCACTGACGAAGTCGTCCGCGTCGTCGTGTGGGGAAATCTGTTCAGTCAACTGTGCTGAAAAGTTATGGCAGCCCAGGCTCACAGAGAGCATGCTGCCGAATGCCCGCCTATCCGGTGGGGCTTTGAGAGCTTCATAGGATTTGGTGACACAGCTTGCAGTTTTGGGCAATTCTTCAAGCAGTCCGAAGTCACAGAGCACAACCACAGCACTGCTCGCGGTATCTCCTAGCCGGGGAAAAATAGGAAGGGCGGTCCGCCTTTGAGGAATCGGCAAGGACCTCAACAGGGATCTTGCAACTTCTGAGCTCACTCTGCAAAGCTATCTCGAGCCGATTTCTTTGCAATAAAGCAGAGACTGTTCATGATCTGAGGTCCGGGCGTCGGGCTGCCTGGCAACGACTTGGGGGTTGTATGAAGCTAGGGCTAGTATAACGTGGTTTCAGGCGCAGTCGGGTGAGGAGTGACGAAAGTACGGACTGCAGAGTTCTTAAATCAGGAGTACGCGATTTACTCAATGATTACACTGTAACTGTAGCAGTCCTTGAACCAGCGATTGCTTGTGTCGAGAGGCCGCAAGGGCCAACTAGTTACTAGTTGGAAGGCCTCAACCAAACCCCTCGAACCTCGAACAAAGTTGCGTATATACACAGTCTTCCCCGCTCAAGCTCGGCGCTTGGCATTCGGATGTTTAATCTCCGGGCGCAGTCATCTCAAGAACCCCGATGGCGAGCCCTGAATAAATTCCCACGGGTTGGTGCCTGGGCCTAGATCCACCATCCTTGGCTTTGCAATGGCCTGAGTGAAGCTGGCAGTCTCGGGACTGAGCACAAAACGAAAGCTGAAAGGCCTCCTGCATCGGTACAAACATATCATAGTTAACAGTCACGCCCGAAAAAATGAGGTCAGGACGGGTGTTGATGTGTTGGGCGATGTGCGTGGGCGGTTGTGTGGCGCCTGGCTGCAGATTGCCAGGCATCTGACGCAAACTGGAAAAGCTGGTGCATCGACGGCAGAAAGCGGGCCTGTGGCCAAACCGACTGCGCTGGGTGTCCCGTTGTTGCGGGACCTTGCCCGAGCCCACCGATGCTTGGGGTGCGAAGCAGGTCGGACTATGAACCAGGCTGTAACCAGACTATGAATGCTGGGCCTCATAAGCAGGCAGGCATCGTGTGGCACGAGAGTAGGAGGAGGTTGCTATGCTTTGCTATGCAAACACCCCCACAAATCACAGCAACAGGTCGTAGAATGCGTTCTGCCCTGCAAGCCTTAGGCCTGATTTGCAGCGGAAACGGAAGCAAAGAGGGTGCTCGCAGCCAGCATGAAGCCAGGTCTCTGAAGCCTTAAAAAGTCCTGAAGCCCTATATTGCAGAAGTGAAACCCGTGTTTTGAAGGACGCATGAAGATCCTTCTTCCTCAGTTGGCCGAGCTTCGGCTTCCAGTCCACCAAGGAGAACTTGGAAGCCGCGGCGTAGCCGTCGAAGGCCTTAGTGTTCTGTGACTGACCCACGATTCTTCAAGCAATGCTTAGTCTTTACAAGCTTCAAGCTTGTTCATGCGCGCGAGATGCTAGACTTAGAGTGATTCGAGAGCGTAGCAAGTGAGCTATCATTCATGCCAACTCATCAAGCATGGTGAGTTGGGTTCGCCCTAACAACACAAACGCTCTTGCCTCGAAACAGCCTACATAGCTAGCCGCTAGCCACCATGGAGATCACCTGGGCGATCCTTGGAGCACTTGATGCCAATTTGTACACCGCTTCCACACGACGTGGTCAAAACTCCTCCACATTGCCCCGGCGACCGCAATCGAAGTGACGAGACTAGCCTCTGCCTACACAAAAGTTCACTTGTTGGTATCCCTCGACTGGCACCGATCGCGTGACGAAGCACCCTGCCGACGTCGAGCGGGAAGATGTCGCCCGTGTCGGCGGATCCTTGTTTCCAAAGGGGTTATCCAAACATCCGACTGACGAATAAGGGCGAGACATGAGCCTGGTTCTGCAGTGGAGCGTGAACAAGCATGACGCATGCTTGGGTCCATTCATCTGGCCGAGGTAGGACGACAGGTGTGCAGCAGCACCGCGTAATGCAAGTAGCTAGTATGTAGACAGCAAAATATTCTCCCTTTCGTGATGCCGGGATGAAGCACAGCAATACTCAGCATCTGTGTTTCTGAGGGACACCTTCTTGATCGGGTCGAAGGAAGAAGGGGCCGCGAAGCAGGTTTGTAGCATCACCGAATCACAGAAGCAAAACAATCTGAACAGTCACATATCCCGACCCGGTTCGTATACAACTCTAGAGAGTGTTAGTCTTCAACTTTGCTGCCTTTTTTGCAGCAAACTTCTGTCCCTGAGAGCCGTCGTCATTACACACTCAGCAATCGTGACTGCAAAGGTCCCGCACAAGATGTATTCATGACGAGTGCACTTTGGTGGCCCGGTGTAAGGTGTGATGGTATTCATGTCGACAACGACAACTTTGACAGATCTGAAGAACAGTCAATGCTCCCCAATTCATTCCACAAATCTGCAAAGATCTGCGCGCCATGCTCCTGCCAAACCCCCGAATCGTATCCCAAAGCCCCGACGAGGCCTTGCTGGGCAAGGGTGCCGCCTGACGCGACGGGTCTCAAGCAAGCAGAACTTGCAACGAAGAGGCCAAGCAGAGAAGAAACGAAGTCTGGTGATCCTTGCACCGCTGCCTAGACTACAAAAGCCGCGTTCAGACTTCACGATGTGAACGTGTCGAGATCTTTTGGACCTTGCAAAATAGAAGCCCCTAGCATTCAAACCAGGCCTGCGTGAGCTCTGGTGTCGGGTACAAGCACTTGCGGGCGCGACTCAATCGCTCTCGCTCCTGGCCCTTGACGTTCTGTTTGCCTCAGCTGAGAACCCCTAGGCAATCGGCCTAACTAATTAGATACAGAACATGTGTTCCTGCATTTGATGGGATGCTGAACCAAATATGTAGAGAAAACCACATGCGGCTGCATCGGGGTGATGCATTACCGCATTTCTTGAAGGTGAGCTGGGGGTCATGCAACATGCCCGTTCAATTTTCTTCCGGCAGCTCTACACGGAAAGACGAATTTCGACACTCAGCGATGCCTGTTCGCACTGAAGACCTATATTCATATCTGATGTCCGGTCCATCTAGAATCACAAAGCCCCTAAACCTTCTCCCTCTCAACCTCACCCCACAGTGCTCCCGAGAGGCTAGATCTCTGGTAATTCACCAGGGCATCCTGCGCACAAAATTCCTTTGCCAATGTCTGAACTATGGCGCTGCACACCAAGCGACGAGATCTACGTGGCTCGAAACAACCTTGTGTTATAAAGCCAACGATGCTGCTGAACATGCCAGCATGTCAATGCTTTGCTGGCCTCTTAACATGCAGTACCGACTTGTTTGGCTCTGCTTGTGACATCTCTGTCAGAACCACATAATCAAGCTGGACTGGGACGAGCTTTCGGCTTGATGCTGAGCATCTTTCTACGGAAGTTTTTTGGCCTGCTACAGCTTAAGGTTCTAATCCTCTTCTGCCTAGCATCAACCGAACATGCATGCAGAGCCCTCTGGCGATACTTTTCAGTCTTATCCATTTCCCTCCTTGACCAACCGCAGCGCCGGCGGAACTCTGCGCATTTCCTCAGACATCAGCTCCGAGGAGGGTTTTGCCAGCTTTGGCTCCGATCTGAGCAGCGGCCCTAGAGCCGCCCTAGACCGACACGAGAGCTTGTTTGCTCACCACCCTGAGGCTCCAAGATGCCTTTTCACTCCTAGTCTGCACAGTGGCACCGAGCCGCTGCCAGCATACGCAGGACATCCTCCTCAGAGAGCACGTCCTGTGCCTGGCTGGGCTCGGGAATCTGCTAAGCTAGTGAGTTGGCCGCGTATCCATGACTCCGGATCTAGGAATCTATGGGCTGATGGGAAGATGTGCTAAAAGTGTTCCCCCTCCCACCCCCCTGGCCCCCCGAAAGCGTGCCTGAGCCTGTGCCAGGCTGGGCTGCTGCAGGGGCGGCTGCAGGGGCGGAAGAGGATCCTTCGAACATTAACGGAGATCGGCAAAGCCGATGATGTCTGCACAAGTCTGACTTGTCGCGGAGACTTTGGACAACTGCTGGATGTATGGCTGCGAAGATGTCTAGCTGATGCTGGCCGTGTTGGTGCCCAAAGGGAAGAAGAACTGCCAGAGCACAGGGGCGACAGAATATAGTCATGATGGCGAGCTAAGTCACTCTGTAGGACTATTGTGATGATGATCCCCTTGGTAGGCGTGGGACTCCGAATCCCAACTTTTGCTCGGAAATTAGGCTTGTCTCGAACCTCATGCTGCTGCTGGGGTCCCGGCTATCAGCAGGCTTGTGTGCAGGTCGCTACAAGAACCCCATGCGGCTGACGACATCAGTTGTTCGCCGCTTGCCGTTGTTGCGACAGACCTAGACCTATACAAGCCCTGACCACGAGGGTTAAAGGCGTACCAATGCTCGGGTGGACGTGACATTCTCGCTCACCTGGTGCTCAAGATGTAGTCGAAGCATACTTTCGGGCTGGGCAACGGAGTGAAACCTTTCGAACGATCAAGCAGCTTCGGAAGCGAGGTTAGCTGTTGACACGGGTGTGGAAGGCTTGGCCTTTTGTTTTAATCCCTGGTGGACGGAATACTACCGCTGATGCAAGAACATCAAACCGCACGATACCTTCGGCAACAAACTGATGCTCTTCCAAATGGCAGTTAAGGGATAGCCGACGCCCGCCTCCTCTCCGCGATGATACGCAGCCTGAGCACAGATTACTCCGAGTGGAATGTCAGTGTGGTATACCGGTATACCGATACGTATGCGAGGTTTAGTCCCATACATTTCTTCTCCGCCCGGTGTGTCCGAGTGTCGCGGACACGCCCTTCCCTTCTCAGCACTGCTGCTTTGCCCTCGCCCTGGCTAAATCTAAGTGTAATCAGAAACTGGCATTTCTGTCCTGGTCTCCCCGGTTAGCGGCCTATCGGTTCTTCTGCGGATGTGTCAACGAAGAAGGCAAACGAGCTGGCCCTCTCAAGGGGTTTCCCCCTCGCCCGCGCCTCTCTCTCTCTCTCTCTCTCTCTCTCTCTCTCTGTGGTTCTGCATCAGTGCTGCATCCTGAACGTCCCACTTCCTGACTAGCGTTGGCTGCGTTTTCGCCTGCAGACGGCCATGCCCCAAAATTCTTGTGAAGAGTTGCCTTTGCTTCTAGGATAGTCCACGCTCTAAGTCAGGGCAGCTGAGCTGGCAACAGGAGTAACAATGCCACTACCCGTGGTTCGTGGACGCAGTCAGCAACTGTATCAGCAAAAGAAGAGATGGCTCATAATGAAAGCATTTACTTGCACGAATCAGCGACAAGTTATCTATCAAAGCCCCACCTCCTGGATGTATCTTTGAAGCTGTGCAGTGGAGAGTGGTCGGTTCCTCGGTTTCCAGGCAGTGGGGCGGGGATTTCGTCCGGGGTGGGAAACCAGGGTACTTTCTGTTTGCCCCGGATCGGTGCTCCACTGTTGCTGTGGTCGGCTCCGAAGCAAGAAAACTGAAAGCCTGGGGGGACCTTCAAAGTGCATGAGTCTGGCTTGCTGCTCTAAAGTCTCTAAAGGTACCACCACACATGCAGACTTGAAGCTCTAGATACCAACGGCGGTACCTGAACACATTGGTCGCCTGACCGTTGCGTGGTTGGTAGCTCGAAGTCCCCAAAAGCCTGCTTTTGGAACTGGGCCGCGGCAGAATGCCGGTCTTCGCGGAAGCATCTGGCACTGGCACATCCTGGACTGCATTCTGCTGCGAAAAGGGCGAGCAAGACTTCAGAAGTTTGCTTGGTTGTCAAACACACGTTCAGCGTAATCATCGCTATCGCTGTTTGGTGCAGCGTACCGGAACATCTAACGGAACTTGAGGAGCACCGACGGAAACAACGAGATTCACTGAGCGGAAGTATGCGACATATCATTTATCGCAGAGCTCCCCTGTACGTAAATGTACATCTACGGTCACCATGCCTTACCTGGCTGAAGAAACTTGCTGGTTACTCGGGAAGGTTCGGCCACCCGGGAACCGCAAATTGCTACTGTCGAAAAGGCTTGTAGCGGCTGCATTGCGCAAGAGGTAACTCCTGCCACTGTAAGCGAGGAGCAGGGAAGGGCTCCGCCATCAGAGACGAAGTGGGCTGCAGGCACCTTCCACGATGACGATAAGCATTCATGTCTACGAGCTTCTTCGGCTACGATTCTGCCTCCGCACACCAGCAGATTGCTGCTGTCTCATTCTATGAGCAGATGATGATGATGATGATCAGGCTGATCTTGATGCTGATGGTGATCGTGGTCATGATGATGGTGATGACAGAACATTCTTGAGATTGAGCAGTAGGTATAAGCCAGGCAGCAGGGTATCAGCATGTACCAGTATCATCCCACACTCATGAACGCAATACCATGGACTTGCTGGCCTG